AGTTCCCCATCCCCTGTTGTGTTAAATAAGAATATTCGAGAAAGTTTAGGGGAGATCACTCCCGGTTTATTATAATTAATTTTCTTTTGGAATTATCAGCAGTATCAGGTTTTCTAATTCATTTTTTTCTGTTCCTGGTTTTTTGCAGTTAAACTGTGTAGGCTACAGGAGGAGGCCTACTTAAATATTGCATGTTAGTTGTTTTTTTTTTTTTGGGGGGGGGGGGGGGGGGTAACTGTATGTGTTTGTGGATGAGTGGTGGGGTAAAGGGGGGGGGATATTAGAAACAAGGCATATCATACAATATACACGGGGCTTACATTTTGTGATGAACTTTTTGTGGGCAATTGCGGAAGGGCGGTGATAATCAGCTAAGAGGGCTGGCTTTATCTTCTGATGATGGCCATGTTAAGATTATAAGTGGCTTTTTTCGTTTTAAATTAAACTTACGTAAACTACAAACAATTTTAATCATGTTATTTATATAAGTTTTTTTGTCGTCCATAAAAGACGTCATAAAGGGGTGTACTGGCTGTGTCAAAGAGGCTTGTGATTTTTTTTTAAAAAGGGGCTCTTAGCCCCAGGTTGAAATATGCAAATTTACTTTTACAGGGGTCGGCGTGGTCGAGTCGGTAAAAGCTCATGGTTGCTAAACCGAAAAGTCTCGAGTTCGAACCCTCGGGCAGATGAGGCTCGTGAAGCTGGGGACAGCCACTCTTCTAGGAGAGACAACTCCAAAATTAAACAACTGCTGCCTTGTAGTTTGTTCTTGGTTGGACAAAAGCCTATGGAAGCAAATCCAAAAAGTAAAGCAGGCTGAAATCGGAGTCAATGGCCTCAATGGCGGCATTACCAGTTGACACGTAACGCTTAATTGTGTTGGATGCGTGGTAGAGGTCAGCAAAAAAAAGCTCATTGTTGATTAAATGTGAACAAAGTCTCGAGTTCAAACTCACTGGCAGATAAATCTCGATCCCCCTCCAACACTAATAATTAAGAACGAAGAAGAAGAAGAAGGACTTTTACAAGAGCGACCAAAGATTTTGTTTAAGAAAAAGTTTCCTTTTTTTATTGCAATTAAAAGTTGTTTATTGTAACGGTTTTTCATATCTATATATATAATTCTCTCCTGGGAGACGTTAGAAAACAAGCTGCAAGCGCGCCTTACAGTCCCATCTCTTCCTCTCTATCGCTACCACCCACGGAAGGGGGGTTTAGTGTTTTAAAGCAAATATTTTCAGTGGCAGCATTGGTACTGTCCGAATTCACAAATTATTAATTACTGAAAAGTAGAAAAAAACAACAACTATGATACGCCGCGGGTCGGCTCGTTTGTTTTATTTTTCCCTCTGTTTAGTCCATTCGTTTTAAATGAAACTGCCCCTGCATAGGCTATTTATAAATATATTTGCGTTAAAACCCGACCAATAGCTTACCAATAGCAACCAACCATGACCAAACAGTCGGCGTGAACTACAGCTCAGTAGGACTGATCGGGACAATAGCGTCTAGCTAGTTATCTCCCCTTTCATTATTGACTTTTGTTATTTATTATTTAGATTTTTAATGACAAATCTTATGTCTAATTCGATTAAAACTAGATAGCAATGCATTGTCATCGAAGAACGTATTTGGTCAGCTTGAATACAATAGCTGCATGAGAATTGTTTCAAAAATTAGTTACAAGATTTGCCACAAGCCCACCAACTAACAGACGTTGTAAACTAAATAAAGGCTTGTATAAGAAAGTATGGACGTTGCATACGTCCATACGTCTCAAATGTATACGTCCATACAGATTATATGTTATAAATATTATAAGGATCGTCCATAAATGACGTCAACTTCTAAGGAGAGGATGGGGGTTGAAAAAGTGTGACGTCACACTTTCCTCATTTTTAAAAGCTGAATTTAACCGTTATTTCGTCCATTTAAGTCCGGTTTTTTTTTTTTGTAAATTTTAATTTAATTTGATTAATATACTCTTAGAAGTTTTAGTCAATATTTTAGAAAGATATTGATGTTTGAAAAGATATTGAACTGCAGTTTTTGAGAAGGGCTGAGGTGTGAAGTCATTTTTGGAGGCGGTCTGGCTTTTTGTGACAATACTTGACGGGCGGGTAAAAGGGGGGTTAAAAATCTTCAAAAAAATGCATAATGTCATTTATGTATACCCCTCCCCACCCACCCCCACCCCGAATTATTTAATTGCTTTGTAAAATACAATAGTTAGGTCTTGCGAGATATGGCATCTACAGTGCTATAAAGCAGAGTTTTTTTTTATTTCAGGCATCTCATCGGAGGAGGAGGGGGGGTAGCTCCACCCCTCGAAGAAAATCTAGCTCCCCCCACCCCCAACGAAATGGACTTTATATAGAAAATATATACTTTTACCTGTATGACCCTGCCTCCAGAGTTTCTTCCAGGCATCTCTTCGGGGGTGGGGGCCTAGCCCCACCCCCCCCCCCCCCCCCCCCCCCCCGAAAAGTTTTTATACCGCCCCCCTCCCCCCGAACGAAACGAAATTTATATAATTTTATATAGAAAATAATATACTTTTAACAGTGTCCCGCCCCCCCCCCTCCCCCCGAAGAAAGTCAACCGCCCCCCCCCCCCCCCCCCCGAAAAATTTCAAGTGCCCCCCCCCCGGAGGAAAAAGTCTGGAAGAAAACACTGCCTGCCCCCCACAATGGTTGCTCTATCCGAACCTGCCCCCCCCCCACCCACCGCCCAACAGTTGCCCTATCCCACCATGTCGTCTCCCCCCCCCCCCCCCCCCCCCCCCCCCCCAACAGAGTGGTTATCAGTGATATTTGTAAAATTCTGGATAGGCCCTAAGTGAAAATTGAGATCAGGCCTATTTATATGACAACGGAAATTCCCGAAAGTAATATGGCATTTTGGCTTTATAAAAGTTTTATTTTATAAAAACATATATTAAACAAATCTTATTTATTAAGCCATACCATACTTAGGTAGTTTTACAATTATTATTATTTATCACCCTAAATGTGAACGATTATGAATTGAGTAGATCTAATAAAAATAGAAATATTTTTAGCTACAGGAATTAGAAACACATTATGAACATTTTATTATCCAAAAAACCTGGCAAGCTTGATGTTTAAAATGGCGATGTCCACAACAAGCAAAATTCATATTATTGCAATTTAGATTAATGTTTACGTGCATTATCAAAATATGGCAATTTATGAGGCAATCTGTATGAGAATAAGGTTTGTGTACTTCATACCAACCGTAAAATACGATTAAATAATAAAATCACACTTTTTCATGTATGTTTTATGTCGGTAGATCAGAGCTCCTCTTGCTCGATGGTGAAACTGAGCCATTTGCCTTTTTTTAGCGCAATTTCCATTCTGGAGAATTGCGTTTATTAACTCGTCATTTCTGGGAATGTATGGATGGATGAATGTATGGATGTATGAATGTGTGTCCGGGCTTTAAGTCGTATCTCCTCCTCAACGAAGCAATATCGATGACTAGTTACAAAAGCAATTATGTTAAGCAAGTTACGAGGATGAACATAGGCCATAAAAATTCCGGGTTTCTTTCATGGATTTCCCGAAAAAGCCAAAAAACCTCGAAAAAATTCCGTTTTTTGCCCATATCTCGGCAACCAGACCACTTAGCGACTTAAAACATGTACCAATCGATTCCTGCCATAATTTAGAACAATATTGCCGAAGAAAGTTTTCAAAAATATCCTTTCGTTAGGTCACAAAAATTTTTTTGAATTAATTAAAATTTGGACCGAATTAGTAGGCATGTTTTTCCAACCACACCACATGCGTCATCACGTTCAATAGCTGCGCCATCACGTTCAATGGCTGCGACATCACGTTCGGTAGCTAGGCGCGCAATGGTTTTTAGTCATGTTACTCTATTGTAAATAAAACATGTAAAATACTGAAAAAAAACTTAATAAAAAACGTTTTAATAACTAACCAATGGTTTTACTAACCCTGCTCTTGATTTACGCTACGACAGAGCTATTTTTAGATAACATAAGGAAATTGCGCTAAAATTGTCACTAGACTTTTTTTAATTACTTGTTTTTTACTTTTTCGTATACAGAGTAGATCTAGATCTAGGAGATTCTGTTCCATTTTTAAAAGTTTACGTAAATTAAAAATGGGAATAAAAACATGTCTGTATCCCGAGTTGCCATCCCCTGTAGTGTTATATATAATATATAAGAATAGGGCCTATTAAAAAAAGTTTAGGGGAGATCACTCCCGGTTGTTCACCGCTCATGTCCAGTTGAGCCTTTTTTTATCTCTTATATTAGGGATTCGCCTCAGATTATAAACTTCCATATTGTTTAAGGACTTAAAGAATTAAAAACTACATTTATTTCCTAATAATTTGATAGGCCGGTAATCTATGGTTTTGGGTAAGTAAAAATTGCCCGCGGCTATGAATGTACGAAAACGTTACCTCATTGTCAAGGCTTTTATAGAAGTATATTGTGATATGTTTGTGTCGAATATTATAGATAAATGAATAATAAACCTAAATCAATGGCTAAATATATCAATATAGGCCAGAAATTAACTTTAAACAGCCGTGTCTGCGAGAAAGATTTGCTATATAAACAGCAGCCATTTGTAAAATAGAGTGGCTTCCCCCTGAATCTCATGCTATAAGTTAATAAAAATAAAACAGATGTCTGCTATAGTAAATGAGCATGGTTACATCTATTGGAAACATCGCTAGTCTTCATTTATTACTGAAAAGTTTTAATTCAATTGATTAAAAACAGGTACATAAATGAAAAAGGAAACATTTTTGTATTTTAAAAAACATAAATCTTCCTCAAAATGTGAAATAATTATTAAAATTTAAGGAGTCACCTATTTTTCACATCATAAGTCGTGGGCGATTTTACGTACCTAAAACGATAGAATCCCGATAGGCCTACCAATTTTTGGGGACTTTTTATACCAGTGTCAGAGAATCCGGAATCTTCTTAAAAAAGGGACTGTTAGGTTACTATTACCTAAAATAAGCTAACCCCAACCTTAGTCCTACCTGACGCCAAACCCTAATTTCTAAACTGGTCGAGATTACAATACTACTAACAACCTAACACACTTATCTGTATCTTCAATCATCCCCAATTTTAATTAGTTAAATTAGCCTATCAAAATTAAACGCTAGCCCAGAAATATATTTTTAAGAAATACATTTGTTTTTAAATGACCAGGAAGCTGTGAGTGAGACAGTGAGTTAATTTTTAAGAAGTGTTGTTGTGCTAAATGATAGGCAGTTCAGCATGAATGTGTCATCTACTACACTAGGAGTTCTTCCCATTCAAATACACAGCGAGCTTAGTGTTGGCTGTTTATCACTAGTTATTTTTTTCATTAATTTTTCCACAGAATCAGAAATATTTTTAATGGTTAAAATTATTTTATTACAGCAACGTTCATAATTTTGTTATTAGTAACCAAAGTTTGAGAATATAAAATAAATGATTTTTATGCTGCAATATATTACTTTTTACATTATCTTCTGCCTCGTACTCAGCGAAATGAACAAATATACAGCAGATGTAAAATGCATTGCAAACACTAAAGTCTAAACATTCATTGTTATATTGTTATAATCTAATCAGTATTGTTATAGAATTTGTTGGATAAAACTAGATCTACTACTGGTATAATAAACACTACTGACATTTTACTTTACGCTGCAATCAATATTAGTGATATGTTTTTTACTATTTACTGTGTGGCTACTTTAATTTTCTTACTAGACACTGATACTTTATAAATAGAGATCAAAATTGGTAGGACTATTAAGTTTGAATGCTGTCATCCTTATCCTTAATTTCAGCCACTGCACACACAAAAATGAGTTGGACCCCTGTATTTCATTGGCTTATTGTTAATAAATATTCCATTTTTTAAATTTTGGCAGCAAATTTTTTATTGTAAAAGCCAGACAGTGGTCTGAAGTGTAGCCCATTACATAGATTTTTATTCTTTAAATTGGAAACTAGTTTTCTTTTGAAAATGTATAATGTCTTTGACTTACTTTTGCCATTATACAGATGTATGTGAAATTAGTCATGTATAAATTTATTTTCTAATTTATAGCCTAAATTATTAATTTTTTTTTTTTAATTTAACCTATTTATTCACACCAAATTTAAGGCTGATACTCATTTAATGACTGTTCTCATTTAAAAAAACTTACCCCATTTCACTGCCACCAAAAATCATGTAAAAATGTCTTGTGTCTACTGTTAGAATTAGCTCAGTTTTGAAAATTTTGGGTTGATTCCTTAATCAAAACTTACTACATATTTATTTTGGCTTCACTAAACATTTCGCAATGCAGTTTTTTTTTTTAAGCCCCCATGATAAAAGGGATAACTTTGACAGTCCAAAATTATAAGTCACAAAACTAATACAATTGTTTTTATTTTCAAATAATTTCTATCTTTAAAAAAATTAATCATTCTACTCATATCAATTGATTGAGAAGAATTTACTTAATAAATGGATTGCTTTTTTTAAAATAGCATGTTACTCAAAATGTCATCATAAAAGCTGATTCAACTGAACAAAGCAAGCCATGGACAGCGATGAAGAGAGAGATATGGACCTGGACCTTAGCCTGGATCATGCTAACAGTGACCATGGAGACTCCAGCCAGCAGGATAAACAAACCTCTGCCATATCCTCTTTGACTGGGTTTTTATTTGGCAACATTGATGAAAAGGGTGAATTGGAGGAAGATTTTTTGGATGAGGTAACTTGAATTTCCTGTTCAATTTTTTTTCTCATTTTCATAATTATTTAAAGCATGAAAAGACCTAGCATTCTGATTTTGGTAGCTATCTGTTTACTCAAGATATATTTATTAGTAGTAATTTACATTTTGTGTTTTATGTATTTTTTCTTAAACATGATTTTCATAAAAACTTTAAGACAACAATAGCCAAGCTAACTCATTTACTGTTGGTATTTTTATTTATGACACTAAGAGGAACTAGACATAGCATGAAATTTGAAAGTTGTTTGTAACTCCTTATTTTTCTTTACTCCCAGGAATCCAAACGTCACCTGGGCTCACTAACACAGCTAGGTATAGGGTCCATGGTGCAGGAGATCACAGAAGGTGGGGGTGGAGACTTGGGCTCTGGACAAGCAGATGAAGGTAAAATTTGTTTCAGTTTTTTTTTTATTTATTAATTGTTCTATCCCTGATTGGGATTGTGTTTTTTTTTTTTTTATTTATAAACCATACTTTTTTTATTGATCTAAAATGTGCAATATTTCCTATGTTTCCTATGATTTCAACAGGGATTCACTATTTATTTCTACTAAACTACTTATTTTATTGATTTGCAATTTGTTTTCGTATAGACTTTAACAGAAAATCACCATCTGCTATTGATTATTCTGACATCATCGAAACTGCAGATGAAGATATTGATCTGAAATTAGTTGGTGACTTTAAAGGTACTTAGTTCTGATTTTATGTTTCTGTATACATTTTTATTAATATATTATGTTATACGTTCTTTTATGTTTTCAGTTGAAACAAATAAATTTAAAATACATATAAATTTTGTGACTTTTACTGAACTCTTAAACATAACTTATTAATCATTTGCATACTAAATACAAATTCATTTTAAAAAGATGTAAATGCATTGAAAACTTTTCTAAGAAAATGATAAAGCGTTGAAACAGATGTACACATTATGACTACTGTTCATGCTAGATGATGCCAATGAAGACACGGCCGATGACGATGATAGGAAGTTGATGCCACCACCATCATGGCTACCCTGTCCCACTCAGCCAATCAGTGTCTCTACAGATGGTGGCACTAGCTCAGGTATAGAGTTCTGGGATATTTATAGCTAAGTGTGTTATCTGGCTTTATGTTGTCATGGTTACCCTATCCCACACAGCCTATCAGTGTCTCTACATCAGATGGTGGCACCAGCTCAGGTATTGCATTATGAGATTGGATGTCCAAGGCTATGTTTGTTGTCTAACTGTATGTTGTCATGGTTACCCTGTTTCACTCATCCATTCAGATTGTGGTACCAGCATAGGTATTTCATTGTGGGATATTCATGGCATGAATGTGAACTGATTTGTTTTTTATTAGTATTTTGTTGCTTATGATATTATTTAATATAAGTATGTTTTTTGGTATTTCTTATTGTTGCTTGGATGTTTGCACGTGATATTTTGTTTAGTTTTACTTGTATTTATTACTCCAGTTAAGTCCCTTTATAGTATAATGCAATTTTTTTTTTTCAAATCTGTTGTTCCAGTGTTGCTTTTATATTGTTCCACCAACCATTATGACTAAAAAAATTCCATTTCTGTACCTTACATAACATTTTATGATTTAGCATGCATGCTGTAAGTTTTGTATATTGTGAACTTGTTTTTAGTTACTTACTAACACTATGTTGTTCAGCTTGGTTACATTGTTTTTCAGTGTGTCACTGACTAACATTGTATGTTGTTTTCCCACCACAGGTCATCAAACATCAGTAGCAAAATTTTCTACTGGTAAGACACCTCCTCAGCAACTATAATATAATCCTCCTTGCTGTGGTTATTTCTCACATTAAGTAGCCTAGTATTTAAAAAATTCAATACAATTAGTATCTACAGATTAATATCTTTTGGGTTTTCTCATGTGGTTCTCACCTAAATATAAATTATATAATAGAAATTATTTTAGCTTCCTTTTGTTCATGTCATCTACTAGCTTAAAAATATTTCATAAAGTTCAATAACTTTGGTCATCAGTGTGGACAATATTAATCGTTTCTAATTTATGCCTCTCGCTTTATACACTAATTTCAATTTCAGTAGTTTATGCTTTAGTATTAATTATTTCTATTCTAACTTAATATGTTGCTAAAAAATATCTATCAATATTAAATGTTCAAAGTACATGATATATTCTGGTAATTAATTTATCTGTCTTTCATTTTGTTACTTCTCTGAATAAGTATGCTTAATTTACTATTTCACACTTGTTAGGAAACCCATTCTATTGCTAACTTCAATAATTTTTACTGTTAGGCTTTAATGAAAAATCCTTAAAATTGATCTCAATACAGTTTTTATTAGCATGAGCATAAAATGCTTACTGATTTGCAAATATGAAGCACATCACATTTTTAACCCACTCCATTTTCTGAAGAAGAAAAATCATTTTCTTTTTCTGTTAAATTTTAAACATATTATCTCACATAAAGGCGAATTTTAATTTGTTTCACCAATTTTCATTGTTTTATAAAAAAAATCTAAATGCTTTATAGAAAGCTAATGTGTTCAGGAAATATTAATATTCTCTAGTTTTTGTTTAAAAAATCAACTGATTTTATACCTGCACATTACAAAGTTTATTACTTTTTATTTGAGGTGCCACATCTACTATTTTTATTTATGTGTAGAATAAGTTTAGTAAAAAATATTTTCTGCCAGGCTCTAGAAACCACAGTTGTTAAAATCCCCTGCTTTAACTGTTTGTCTAATCTCACAGATGAGCAAACATCTCCATCATCATTAAGCCCAGGCAAGAAGCTCAACACACCATTGGCGGACATGATGCCTCCAGAACTGGCTAATGTTGATGTCACCATGTTGTTCCCTGAGTTCAGGCATGGTCAGGTAGGTCTTTCTTGTTCCCTGCATCCAGTGGCCAGATAGGAATCCTATTGTTCCCTGGGATCAGACATGGCTAGGTGATCACTTGTTGTTCCCCGAGTTTAGATTTGTGTCTGTAGGTCAATTCCTCTCAGAGTTCAGACTTGCCAGGTAGGTCTCTTATTGTTTCTTGAGTTCAGACACGTATATCACTCCCTTGTTGTTAAGAGATATGGCTGGGTAGTTTGTTGACATAAGACAAGGTGATACACAAAGCTGTATTATGTTTAGTAATTTTACTGTAATAATTGTCATACTTGTCCATCAGCACCAGTTTTATTTCATTGAATTGTAATTACTTTTGGCAGGTGTTGAGGTTTTCTAGGCTGTTTAAAGCAGCCCACATGCCCCATGTCTGGAGGAAAAAGCGCAAGAGAAAAGACGATGACGAGGAGAAGAAAAAAGCTGAAAGTAAAAAGAAAGAAAAAGAGGAGAGTGAGAAGAAAAAGTCTGACTCTGCTGACAAGGAAAATGAAAGCACTGACAATGTGCAGAAGGTTGGGGTTAAGAAAGAAATGGATGAGAGCAGCAAGGCTGAAAAGATGGATGACAGTGATGATGGTTACGAGGCTGGGGAAGAGGATGAGTTGGATCTTAAGATCAACCTTGGAAGGAGCCCCAAGAAAGAAGAGCTGACAGATGATGATGAGGTTGGTATTTGTTGTATGACCTTGTATTAAACTCCATTTTGTGGAATCAGTCCAGTTTTTGCCATTTAATTCTGTTTATAATACTGTATTATAGTAGCAGACTTTAGCAATTACTAAATAGAGGTATAATTAAATAATTAGTATTTTCCTTTTTATGATTAGTTTCAGTTCAAAGCTTGCTAAGAGACCTCAGTAAACTTAATTTTAAATTAAAATTTAACATATCACAACCATTCAACAACCATGAGCTGCCTATAACTGTTCACATTTCATTAGTTTTTAACCATCTAGTGCTTAAAACTATCAATATCATTGTTAACCAATTGGAGCCTATAACTTGATTTCAGTGTTAACCATGTAGTGCTTGTCACATAACTCCTAGATGTTTCATATTCACCAAGAAAATTTGGATAGTTTTTATGAAATATATTAAGTTTTCTGTAAATTTCTATTTTAGGAACTGCTCAAAAGGCCAACAGATCGCTCCATGTCAAGAAATCAATCAGGTCCAAATGAGAGTGACCATGACACAGATGTGGCACCATGGCGCTATGGACCTGCCCAGTACTGGTATGATTACCTGGGGGTGGATGAGACTGGACGAGACTTTCACTATGACTTTAAACTCAAACCAGTGAGTACAACAATACACTCTAATTTTCTAACTCTATATTAAACTATTGAGCTTATTGAATAAAAGTTAAAACTAAATTGATTTACACTTAATTTATTAGTGAATTTTGAATTTTATTTCAATGAGCGTTTAGCCATATTACATTTAATATTGTTATGGTGATGTAGAAAGGATGATCCAATATTTCTGTGAGGGAAAATAGAATGTAAATGTTGCAGTACTAGTTTTAGTGTAGTTTACTGTAACCACCCACTCTTCTGTGCAGGAGGAGGCAAAGAAAAGAGAGGAGGAAGAGGCAGAGAGGATTGACAAAAACCTGGACTATGACCGTTATCTGATGGTCACCCAGCAGAGGTGGGAGGATAAAATTATCTGGGATGGAGAGAAGTCCAAGCAGAAAGTTCTAGAAGAGCACAAGAAGAATGCTGAGTTTGCTGGCTGGGTACCAAGTACAAACAACAGGACGTTTGCTCAGTGTAAGGATTTCGTTCTCAATTTAAATATAGATTTTTTTCAATTCAGCTTAATTCTTTAAGAAAATTTGTTTCCATGTTGCATCTTTGTCAGATTGTCTTTAAGAAACATGAAAAACACACAAATTTGAGTGGAAATGCACAATACTGTCCGTACCAGCCTTTAATAATATTTCAACCTTCTAAACAGAAAAGTCTTGTTCTTATGTTCACTTCAATCTGCTGTTGCTTTGTTGTAATTGAGAAAGTATGGTGCACCTTTATATATTCTTTAATATTATCTTTCTCTAGCTCGGTCACAGTCAGGTTTTTTACAGAGATCAAAGTCCATCATTGCTAAGCCAGGTAGGTAAAGGCTACACATCAGTAGAATAACATGTAGTTTAATGCTGCATTGGTAATCTCATTGGTAACCTGTAATTGTGAAATCTGTATATCTAAAAAATTCATGGACTACTTTACCTTTTTTTATTTTATTTCATTAATTCTCTTAAAATAAAAAAAATGTAGTTTAAAAAAATATATGAATATTTTATTTGGCATTTTGTGTTTTTTTACATGTAAGATAATTGGCCTGTTGTATTGTTTTACAGATTCTGAAATGGGCAGAGATTCCGAGTGGTTCTCAATTTTTCCTGTAGAGAATGAAGCCTTGATCTACAAGAATTGGGAGGATGACATCATATGGGATGCAGAGGTAAAAATCTTCTTGAGGTTTTGATGAGAATATCTTTGGGCAGGATTCTTGATTCATGGAATTATTTAAATGCACAAGCTTTGACCAAAAAACCCCTTATTGCTGTTGAACAAAACAGGATGTTCCGGCTTTTACTTGTTTAAAACATGATAGTTATCATCCATTATTATTGAAGGTTTTGGATTTGAGTAATTTTCCATGATAATTAGTAGTTTCAATTCAATTTTTCTTACTTGTCTTTGCCTTTGTATAATCATTTGTTTTCTTTGTCTTGACAACTGTTATTTATTACACCAATCCTCCAGAACATGGACTCTATACCTAGCCCCAAGGTGCTGACCCTTGACCCTAATGATGAAAACATCATCCTGGAGATACCAGATGACATTGACCCCAACCAGCAGACAGAACAGGGGACTGGCACAAAGAAGGAGAAGGTAAATCTTGTTTCCTTACGACTACACTGATATGTGGGTTGTCTTAAAATAAATCTCACATGGTTTCTCATAAAATAAAGCTGTCTGTGTCATCACTCTGTTCATAGAATGCTTGGAAATGGGTTTTTTTTTTTCAAAGAAAAGTTATAAACAGAATGTTAAACAATCTCATGAAAAAAAAAATAACTATTTGATGTTCCCATTAGACTAATATTAAAACAATACAGTGTAAACATAATCCTTTTTATGTATAAGAATGTACTGCTTTTCTTCTGTGTTATATGATTAAATATAAATACAGTTCACCTAGCAAATATTGCAAATATCTAACTGATTCACTCCATTTTGTATCAACCCATTTCTAATTATTCTGTTTATTTTTTTTAGGAATCTCTTCGCAAGAGCAAAATATTGTTGGGTAAAGCTGGAATTTTGAAGGATGGAAATGGAGATAAGGAAGAGGTAGCTATGTTTTTTATGTTCTTTGATAATAGTTTTCTGTTCTTTGATAATAGTTTTCTGTTGTTTGATACCAGTTTTCTGGTGTCATTTATTATTTGATAGTCTGGTAAGTTTCTGAAAAGTTTAAATTGACATCAGCAATGAAAAGTGATAAGTATAGTTTTAAGTATTTAGTTTATAAAAGCGCAATTTTTTTTTTACAATAAATTGTGAGATTAGCTAAACAAAATTTATCGTGACCAAATGTTAATTATTATCTTGTCCATTACAATATTAGTTTAGATCATTTAGATAAAGACAGTTTTAGAGTACATACATTTTGCTTGCACGCTGTGATTTCATTATAGGTTCCTAACGCTGTTAATGCTAAAGACTTGTTTAACCTATCCAATGATGAATACTACAGCCCTAAACAGATGGACAATGCCTTACGTCCCAACATTGGTAGCTCTGTTATACAGGTATTATCTATTGATTATGTTAATTGTATTGTTATTCACATAAAACTGATCATATTATCTAGCTATTAACAAGAGCTAAAGCAGTGCAGTTTTATTTTATAAATTTCATGGGAGTTTTAAAAAGTTTTTTTAGTAACTATCAATAAACAAATTAATTTTTTTTAACTGAAAAGTTTTCAAATCTTGTCTGAATGTTGAATAATATTTTTCTACCCTGCTAACTTTTGAAGCAAATTTCAGATGAATGCGAAATAACATTTTTCCACCCTTTAAAGCACATCTGGGCAGTATGTTGATTAACCCTTTTCCACCCATCTACCTTTTGAAGCCCATCACATCTGTCTGTCGATTAACCCTTTTCAACCCATCAAACTTTTGAAGCCCATCACATCAGTCTGTTGATTAACATCACATCAGTCTGTTGATTAACCCTTTTAAACCCATCTAACCATCAAAGTTTTGATCTCATCTCCAGCACTCCACCCCAGCGGCTGAACTACGGCAGCCATTTTTCCCCACTCACCTGGGCCCAAATAAGCTGAGAACTTTCCATAGGCAGCCATTTAAGAAATATTCCCACGGTCGCTTGTCCACATTTGAACCTCATCCTGTGGACAGCCTCAACAAAGTCATCAAGAGAAAAGCCAAGGTATTTATATATAATTGTTGTTATTCTACATTTTTTCTCGTCTAGATGTTTAGATCTAAGTTATGATAGAAATTGGTTTTTTTTAATATCTTTTATATTAAAAAAAAACGAAAGTAAAAAAAGTAATTATTTAAAGCCTTTTTTTTTAATTAAAAGTTTTTAAGTTTGTTTCACTGTATCTAAAAATGTTTTATATTATTATGCACATTCTTAAATATCTTTTGTTTTAACATTTTTGCACATTTATTCATAAACCAATCACTCTATTTCAATATTTAAATAATTTTCCGCAGTAACAGTAAAATATGCTGAGGCAGATTCACTATACAATTAACAGACATATTTCAATTTCGCTCACTCAAAATAAAAATCTTTTTGCTTATTTTTTTGCATTTTAAAGCAAAAGTACAAGAACCACAGTAAGTTCACCATTATTATTGTTACAGATCAGAGATCAAGAGAGACAAGCGTTTGGTGGTGGAGAAATATTTTTCATGAGAACACCTCAAGATCTAACCGGAATGGACGGTGAGCTAATTTTGGCTGAGTATTCTGAAGAGTTTCCTCCCTTACTGATGCAAGTTGGCATGGCTTCCAAGATTAAAAATTATTACAAAAGGGTAAGAAAACTGATTGAAATATCTTTTCAGTATACATTCATTTAAAATTAAATTAACTTGTATTATACATTGCTGAACTTTTTTTGTTGTTGTTGAAGTCAATAAACTATGTTTCTATTTTTATTTATTTTAATCTTGTTATTAACCAACATGCCTCTTGTAAAGCATATTTATTTGAATATGCTTGAATACTGATTGAACCATCACAATGACTTAAAATGTCTTTAAAAATTGCTTTTTAAGTAAAATAAAAAAATTTTACCAGAAACCTGGCAAAGACACAAATCCACCGACTTACAAGTACGGAGAACTGGCCTATGCACACACTTCACCATTTATTGGTGCTTTAAAACCTGGCAACTGCCTTCAAGCCTTGGAGAACAACATGTTCCGGTCACCCTTATATGAACACAATGTCCCACAAACAGACTTTTTGGTCATTCGCACGAGACAAGGGTAAATGATTGACACTGAGTAATGTATTAGTGTTGCCTAATAAAAAAATATATCATTTTTAAAAGTATAATAAATTTAAAATAACTTTTTTAAATAAAAAAATTTTATATTACAGTCTCCTTAATCTTTTAAAAATATAATAAAATGACAACTAAAATTTATTTTTTAATTAAAAAATGTTAAGTATTTTTCTAAATATTTAAAAAATTAAAATACATTTTTTGAAACAGAATTCTTAAAATTACAAAAAAATCAATGGATTGTCATAAAATGTATTATGATTAATATTTCAAAATAACATTAAATGTCATGGCCAGGTATTACATCAGAGATGTTGAAACCATCTACACAGTTGGTCAAGAAGGTCCTTTGATGGAGGTCCCAGGTCCTAATTCTAAAAGGGCAAATAACTTCGTCAGAGATTTCCTACAAGTGGGTATTTTCTTCTTTACATTATAGAACATAAAAGGAGCATTATTTTGTTCTTTACAGTATAGCACCTAACAATACCAGTATTGTAAATACAATGTTGAGAATTGTTAAGGCTACTGTATTAAGCTATTGATTTAAGTGAAAGCAAATGTATATGATAAAGACTTGAACTTTAAAGTTGAAGTTGAAATAACTTTTTTCTACTTTTTCTCTAGGTTTTCATTTACCGACTGTTCTGGAAGAGCAAAGACGAGCCTCGGCGAATAAAGATGGAAGACATAAAAAAAGCTTTTTCCTCTCACTCTGAGAGCAGTATCAGAAAGAGGCTGAAGCTGTGTGCAGATTTTAAACGTACTGGTAAGTCTGTGAGAGGCTGAAGATCTGTGCAGATTTCAAACATACTGTAAGTCCATCAGATTGGATTTAGCCCTGGATAACCTGTGTCACCATTACATTTTTTTTGTGTCACCACAAGAAATGTTCTATAATATAAACTGTGTTGAATGAATTCGGTTTTACATTTAGACTTTGTGTCACCACTGGGTATCACCAATTTGTATTAAACTGGTATATGAATTGTTTTATCATTGTTTTTGTGTGTCACCACTGGTTGTTACCAACTGTGTAAACTGGAATGAAAATTCTTCTTTACCAGTAGACTTTGTGTCACCACTGGGTATCACTAACTGTAAAAACTGAATCCTGTTTCAGGCATGGACTCCAACTGGTGGGTCCTGAAGCCAGATTTCAGGCTGCCTACAGAGGAGGAGATCAGGGCCATGGTGTCACCAGAGCAGTGTTGTGGCTGGTACAGTATGATCACAGCAGAGCAGAGGTTAAAGGTCAGCATTCATTAGCATAAATCATTTGTTTGTGACACTGGCTGAGATTATAATTTTATTTACAGTGACACTAAGACATAAACTCCATTATATAAGAGTTTGTTTTTAATTCCTTCACTGCGATTGTTTCATTTTTCATCTAGGATGCTGGTTATGGAGAGAAGTCGCTGTTTTCAGTTGAGGAAGAGAATGAGGAGGATACACAGACTAAAATAGATGATGAAGTAAGTCAGCTAATTTGTTTCATAATCACTAATTTGGGTAGTCAGTTTTTGTTTGTTAAAGTGTTAAGCTGTATGCTAAAATGTTTGACTGTATGCTAAAAGTGTTTGGTGGTATGGTAAAGTTGTTTGGCTGCATGCTAAAAGTATTCAGTTGTATGCTGTCTGCTGATATCCAGCAGCCAATATTTGTTTATGAGATGTGTCTGTGTAATTAAAGTATGTTGCTGTCTACTGATGTTGGTTGTGTTGTCCACAGATCCGCGCTGCTCCATGGAACACCACCAGGGCCTATATTGCTGCCATGAAAGGAAAATGCCTGCTTCAGCTGAATGGTCTGGCTGACCCTACTGGCTGTGGTGAAGGCTTCTCTTACATTAAGGTAAGCAGGGAATACATCATGTAGTGTCATTTGTCGTCTGTAGGAAAGATAAGATGTGCATCTAGTGCAATGATAATTAGTGTACCAGGTGCCTATTGGTTTTTAATGTTTTTGAACAAAAGATTGTTCTTGATTGCACCTGGAATTTGAGGTTTAACTAGATGTACCCTGTCTTGTCGGCTCGACCCTGTACCCAGTGTGGTAGAGAGGACAATAAAGCTCAGTGTCTGGAGTGAGAAGGGGAGAGAATCAAGAAATTGTTGGCACTCTTTATAGTTAGATACCCTGAAATATCCCCTGAGCTGGGTGTTCCCTTGTAGTTTTGTGTCTGATGTTGTTAGGAAGTGGTGGGCAGTAAACAAACTGGCCAGTTCCAAGTTGTTCATTAGTAGGGCTGCACTGAGGGGTGTGATGGTTGCCATTGGCCAGTACTGGCTCATGAGCTGGTCGCTGGCCACGTCTGATGGTGTCATGCCGTTGGCTATCAGGTGGGTGACCAGACTAGTGTGACCTTGAGAGATGAGTTTGATGAGAGCGGCAGGGTGAACTTGGTCAGGTCTGGCGCCGTGGTCCAGCAGGTGCTGGGCACAGCTGCAGGCTGCTGTAGTCAGGGTACGTGAGTTAAGGAGAGTGGCTAGGGCTTGTTGTTTGTGGCCATCATGTTGGGTGGGTGTGCTAGGAAGTGTGGCCAGCGCTTGCTGTTTGTGGCCATCATGTTGGGTGGGTGTGCTAGGAAGTGTGGCCAGCGCTTGCTGTTTGTGGCCATCATGTTGGGTGGGTGTGCTAGGAAGTGTGGCCAGCGCTTGCTGTTTGTGGCCATCATGTTGGGTTGGTGAGGTAGGAAGAGTGGCCAGCGTGACCTGTTTATTGCGCTTTGTATTTCGTTTACTAGAGAACTCAAGTAACACTTTTAAGGCTGTTTCTGATTGGTTGGTAGCTGCAAGTACAAGAGCTGACACACCTTGTGTGGTCTCAACATCCACATCAGAGCCAGCTTGGAGCAGGAGGGTCAGTATTTCTGTACTGGCATCTTCATGCACTGCCCACATCAGGGCGTGATGGCCGGTTATGTCCCTTATATTGACATCAACATTTCTCTCTATCAAGTACTTGATGATGGGGTAGTGTTTAAGACGTGTAGCCTGGATCAGTGGTGTCCAGCCGTCTGTCTGGGTCAGGTTGACATTGGCTCCTCTGTTCACTAGAACTTGTACATTGTCTAATGAACCACAGCTGACTGCCAGATGTAGACCTGACTGTCCGTCTCTGTCCTGTGTGTCAATATCCACTTTGCTACAGGCCAGGAGTCTTTCTAGCATTGACTTAGTGCCAGCCATGCTGGCTGCAGCCATGAATGGATGCTGACCCTTCTCATTGGTCACGTCTGAACTTGCACCACTGTCAAGAAGTTGTTGGACAATGTCTTCCAATCGATGGAATTCTGTCATCCCTGAATCATTTTCATTCTGTTTCAAGTTTTTTCTGATATTTTTTACATAATTTTCTGATAGAGCATTCAGCAATGGAGTTACCCCTTTTACGGATATGTTGACATTAGCTCCCCTTTGTAACAAAAGATTCACGACTGCTGGGTCGGTTGCTTTCATTAAGATTGACTTCCCTTTGTACGCACCATTGACATCTGCTCCCTTGTCTAAGAGCACATTGACTACTTCTACACAACCACATCTAGTAGCAGTTTTCATCAGCCGTGCTCCAGTGCACATAAGTGCGTTTCCATTGAAATCTGGAAACTTTTCCAGTAAAAACTTGAGGGTCTTGGAATTTTGGGAGCGCACTGCTATTGCTAAAGCTCTTTCGATGTTTATGACAGCATCGTGTTTCAAAAGAAGTGCTGCGCATTGGGTATGGCCGTTACGTAATGCCTCTTCAGTGACCGAGGTGAGTTTGTCTACGTGCTGGCGTCTCATGTTGGATGACAGATGCTGTAAAAGTATCTCCAGTATGTGAATGTCTCCCACGCTGGCTGCCAGACTTAAGGCCGTGGTGTCCTGCTTGTGTGGCGTGGCGAGAGGCGTGGCCCCGTGCTTGCACAACAGCGCCACCAAACGGCAGCTGTGGAGGCGGGTGGCCAACACAAGAGCTGGTTCTACGTACCTTGACTTGAGGTTCACGTCGACTCCACTTTTCAACAGCGTTTCGATAAACTCAACATCTCTATCCACTACTTCTCGCCCTTGCATCATACTCAGTAGTTGTAAAAGTGTCGGGCGTGCCCATTTTTCTTCATCAGACACGGAACTGCAGTTCAGAAATATCTTAAACGAATCGAGGTCATGCTGTAGGTAAGTATGAGTAAGGGGCGAGCCTGAAGGGAAAGAGTTTTGTCTCATGAGGGAGAAGACTTTGCCTATCCCAACTTTATCGGCAATATCCTGTGTAGTTTCTCCCCTGTGATTGGTCAACACCTTCCATTGTGCTCCCTTGGCCAGCAACTTTTTGACCACGTCTAGGTCACGTGCCTGGACTGCCTTCATCAACGCGGTGTAGCCTTTGTTGTTTTGATAGTCGAGATTTATAAACGCTTTGCTGAGCAAAAGACTGACCACCCGCGTTGAGCCTGATTTTCTCATGGCAAGGATTAGTGCCGTGTCGCCGTCTCTATTAGCGTGGTTAATAATATCATTGACACTCCCTTGGAGAATAGCGTCTACGGTTTCATGGTGACCCAAGTGAGCCGCGAGCATAAGTGCCGTGTTGCCTTCTGTGTTTGTTGGTTTCACCTCTGCTTGTTTGCCCAATAGCATCCGCGCGATGGCGTTAAAACCCCCTTGAGCGCTCAGGATCAGAGGCGTTTCTCCCTCATTGTTTGTGCTGTTGATGGCTGCACCTTTCCAGATAAGGAAATCTACAATGTCTGTAAAATTCTTCCTAGTGCAAATGTGTAAAGGCGTGTCACCGCGTTCATCCTTACAATTTATCTCAGCTCCACATTGCAGTTGTTGCTGCGCTTTAAACTTGTCACCGGTTGCGCATGCATGCTGCAATAAGTTATTGGGATGCACAGTAGCACGCCGGTAGTCAACCCGAATCGTCGCCATGTTTTGTCTGTAGACAGTGTGCATCTCCAACTCATCAAGTTGGAACAGTCTTCGGCGTTTTTCGGGAATTGTATCTTCCAGTTGTGCTAGTGTAGTCACTCCCTAAGCGGTCGCCTGTTTATTGTTCCTTTCTTTCTTTCCAACATTGGTTTTAATGGTCTTGCAGAAACTTAAGAAAAATGTGTTAATTGTATTAAAATTACCTATTTTAATAGAGAATATTGGGGCATAGAGAACTTAAAAAAAAAAAACTGAAGCGTATTACTTCTTTAAATGCCTTCAAAAATGACGTTTGAAGTTAAAGTTGTGTTTTCGTAAGCAATACTAAAATAAAATATTTGTGTTATTCAGAACATAGTCTCTTCGTATCAGCTATGGATATTATGTATTCATATTTAGGGGGCAGGTGTAATGTTCTGCGGTATTAGAACACAGTTTGGCGTGATCAGAGGCGGCTATACAAATACGTGGAGGGGTGGGTTAAGTCGACCATAAGCGCTATGTGCGTTTCAATGAAATAATGCCGTAATCACCTAGTTAACTGCAGAAAAGTTGGATCAATTACGCGGCAATCCATGCAAATTTAAGTGTTTAAACTATTTGTAATATTTTCCTCTGTTTTGGAACCGTAGCTTTTTTTTCTTCTTAAAGCGAATTAACATGACCATATATAATAAACCGGGAGTGTTCTCCCCTAAACTTTCTCGAATATTCTTATATAAAACTTCGAGGGATGGCACCTCGGGATATAGACATGATTTTAAATAAACTTTTTAAAATAGAATAAAATCTCGTAGAAAAAAGAGTTGCACACCAAGTGAACGCCAAATAAAATGTGCATAATAGTGCGGAATATTATAAGTACTTTTTAAATTCACATGCGTTTTTTGATAAATCGGAAATAGCGAAAATTACTACTTCCTGTCAAAGGAAATTACTCAAAATTTGTTAGAAGGCAGAGAATTAGTTTTTTTTACTTACATGTGATATTTCATTTATCTATCTGAAATAGCACTCAAGTTATAGACTCTTAAAAAATCCAAAGTAGAAAAAGTTCCACTTCCTGTTATCGGAAATCGCTCAAAAGTTGATACGGATATACGATTTTGATATAATACTTATATATGAAATTTCATCAACCTAGCTGTAACGGTACTCAAGTTATCGTGTTTACAAACACACACACACACACAGACATACTGACAAGATTGCAAAACTGTTTTTCCGACTCATGGAGCTGTAAAACGTCGAGATTTGCTAAAATCTCGATTTTTTTTTTTTTGCACGATTACAAGACTTTCTGTATACTTCGTATACACGAGAAAGTAAAAATTTTCCGATAAAATTGTAGGATAATATATTTAGGTTGATTTAGTTTTTTGTAGTTTAATTAAAACGTTGAAAACTTTGAAAAATCAACACTTAATTTAGAAATGATAAATATTGAGTTTTCTATGCATCAATTTAGATTAATGTACATATATAAAAGAATATAACATAATGGCGATCACGTGCAGTTTTTACCTATATTTAAATCATCAACAATTTCATTGTACTGATAACAAAGATAAATAATAAACACGTCGCATCACCCCAAGCCCAAAGACACGTCTGCATATTTGTAACTGGTTGTATTACTGTTTAGCATAAACAAAAATGTATTACTTACGAGCCTGTCCACTTTTTTTTTGCCAGACGTTTCACTCCGTGGTCTGTAATTTGTGATATTTTTTTAAAGCTTTACCTTCGTCAGATAAAATATGTTCCATTGTTCATTTTATTTTCTCAGAAAATTCAGGCTGCCTACATTTGATAGATAATAGTTATATATGACGTCAGCAACTCTTCACGTCCCCCCCCCCAGGTTATTCTTAGGTTTTTTTTCTATTGGCGGATATGTTTTACGGAGAACTATTTCATTGATTTCTCACGCCCCCC